CCGCGCCATGTTTGAAGAGTGAGTAAATCTGTAACATCAAATAAAACAACACGACAGGGTTCAAAAACAGTGAAGTAGTCCTCTGATGCCACGTTTTTAAGACCAGCTGAGAAAGCTGCAGACTGAATGGACCATGTACGGCAATTACATACTGCATGTTAACGCAATTAAAAAATGAACAGCATTCTACTTGTGCAATTAACAATAATCTGGCAAAGTAATTGACACAGGTCTGACAATAATAGCAATCTCTAATCGATTGATTAGCAAAGATTATTACTCCACCACATGTGTGTGAAATGTCATTTACAACCGTCTTATACCAACATGGTTCTACTGATAGAGATTTGGCCATTTTACTACGGAAACGCACCCCCGGATGATTGCCTAGTAGTTTTGTAGTCTTGCAATATTATTAGGTAAAAAAAAAAAATGAAGCAGAGAATATAGCTGCAAACAGCAATATTGTGGCCAAGTACGTCAATGCGATGCACATTGTAAAGCAGAGCACTTTTTTTTTTTTTTTTGGAATCCTAGAGCTATAAAGAGTCCCTTAAGGCATGGTCTTGGCCATACCACTTAGCCTAACTTTCTTGAAAATAATAAAGGAAAATTTGTTAGGTTTTTGACTTTGTCTGAGCCAGGAGTTTTCAAACTCTTGGGCATTTTGGACATCTCCATATTTTATAGCTGTACAAATTGTCCTGTAGGTGGCGCTGTCACCTAACTGCATATGTTGTCCTAGGAACACACTTGAGTCAGATGTGTTCCTAGGTCAACATATTTTGTTGACCCTGGAACAATATTTTAATCCAAATAATTAGTCTTGACCATATCCCTACACCTAAACCTAACCTTAACCATGAGTAATCCCTAAAATCAGAGGAAATGATAGATGAATGACACTGATGTACAAGCACCAAACACTGATTGAAAGCCTAAACTTCACAAAAACTATAAACTGGTTCTTCAAATCGGATTGGTTAAGTATATTATTGCCCAGCTCGAATCTGCTAAATGTGATTATAAGACATGAAGATATTAAGAGATTAACATCACAATTTTCTGTAGAGCTGCTTTGAAATAATGTGTTTTGTGAAAAGCTCTATACAAAAAAATTTAACTGGACTCCGAAAAAAATGACAGCCAGGTGTTTGGGGGAGATTAACATCACAATTTTCTGTAGAGCTGCTTTGAAATAATGTGTTTTGTGAAAAGCTCTATACAAAAAAATTTAACTGGACTCCGAAAAAAAATGACACGGTTACAACTAAACTCTTGTAGGAAAGTGTCTCTTTGGGTTCAGGAATCAGAATCTGTGTTACACCAAATATTGGGTATATCAAAGCTTGATAACTATAGAAGTAGTCTCAAGATTACCTGATCCAAATGTGATGAAAACTGAATATAAGCTGTAGGTTAAGTACAGACTGACAAATGATGGCTTTCGTGTATTTGTTCTGGCATCAGAGACCATCTATTTCCTCTTCATACAAGTTTGAGCAGGTCAGCTCTCTCATGGAACACTGAAATAGGTGCTATTTGCATAAGTGAAGCCTATAATGCACAGTGTCATCTGGATTTAACTGGACAAACTGATGAAGCAGCAGAATTTAATTTTAGGAAAGTGGTTCTCCAGCATCAGGAATGAGGATCCCAGCGTTACACAGAAATTATTTGGTGTATCAAAATTATCCAACCCAAATGTGGAGAAAATCAGATAAGAGCTTTAGGGATGTTTAAATGCCTTTTTTTTTTTTTTTTCAAATCACAAAAGTGTGGGTGAAAATTGAAAACAAGTGGACTGAATGTATATCCAGGCCACACTGTTCAGAATCAGAATCAGAATCAGAATGAGCTTTATTGCCAGGTATGTTTACACATACGAGGAATTTGTTTTCGTGACAGAAGCTTCCACAGTGTAACAGAATGACAGTGACAGAACAAAAAACACAGATAATAAAAAAATAGAACAAGTAAATAAGGAATAAAAATATATAAATCGACAATTGTATGTGCAGGTATATTGCAATAGACAGTTTTGTGTGTACAGGTACTGTATATTATGTGCAAATTTTAGGTGTGATGGATGCTCGGCAACGGCGTTCTGAATCCGCGCTGTCTGAGCTTGACGAGCGTGCCGGCTCGCTTACCCCCCGTCTGCGCGTCCTGAAGCGCTTGATCAGCGCCACAGCTCCCCCGACTACAATGTCCAGCAAAACATCAGAATAGTCGAAAACCGGTGAAATATCGGGTGGTGTGTACTGCCGAATGTCCAGCAATTCGTCTCTGGTGAAACTGATTGCAGGGATATAACTAAAGACAGGACAAACTAACAAAAACATAAAAACAACTGCGGAGCACGCCACGGAGGCAGCCATCACCGTCGGCGCCATCGTTAGAACTATCGTTCAAAAATTATGAGCAGAAATGAAAGTCAAAACTGTCAGTACTGCTTGGAAAGTTTGAGAGACATGTCAGAATTGCTACCAGTAATGTCCTGTCCAATAAGTATACCAAATTTCACAACCATTTTGCATTTGATTTTGAACTTGTTGTGGGACTCAATAGTTATCAATAGTTTGTAAGAATGACTGATTTTGGTCTTCTTGTGGATGCATGCATGCTATACATCTATAATGGCTGGGCACCCAAAGGCCTTTTAGTTTCTTCTTTTACATGGTTATTTGAATGAGCTTACTGTCTTAAGCAAGCAATATAAGAGCTCTTCATTGAAAGCCACCAAAATCAGGGATATAAAGAGGTTGAGAACTGCAAATGTCATGAAGATAATGCAGGATCCAATCAGGAAAGCTCCCAGAACTGGATTGTAATCCAAAACCTGTAGGTAGAAAGAAATTATACAATGAACAAATCTAAGTTCTGTGAGGACCACTATCGTCAAAATGATAGATACTTAGCATAAAGTTTGGTTTGGCGGTATGGTTCTGTTCTGGGCAAAAACCTCCCTGCCCATCCATGCAGCCTGTCATGAATGAGCAGGGAGAGCAGCAATAATAACCCCCCTAGGAGGAATGCCACGATAGGTGTCGTATTCCTATAGGTAGATGTGATCAGCTGAGAATCAGCTGATGCAAGCTTGACTCACGTGACCTGCCAGAACTAACGCTTAATTTCTTAAACACATTAGCAGTGAGTACCAATTCAGTATATGCCTTTAATTTTTACCTCATCATAGTTCAAAATACCCAGTTGTAGACAAATAATGGTCTGTGCAGCCTCAAGCAGAGTTATGTATGAGTAGATCCTCCAACCGTACATCAAATTGCACTAGTGGGATACAAATTGTAAAACTTTCAGACAAA